AAAGTGTGTGTGTGTGTGTGTGTGTGAGAGAGAGAGAGAGAGAGAGAGAGAGAGAGAGAGAGAGAGAGAGAGAGAGAGAGAAAGAGAGGAAGATTCATTACACCTAGCTCACATTTGTGTAGCACTTTGTAGTTTACAAAGGCCTTTCTTTGTGACAATCTGATGAGACAGGGAGTGAGAAGTAAGAGCAAAGGAACCATCATGGATATTTGGATAACCACCAAGCCCTCCCAGAGCAACTATGTCCCTCTGTGCACCCCTTGGAAATATCACTGGGTTACATGGAACTTGCTTGGTAGTGCTTTTTCATAGTAAGATTGAAGAAGTTTGAGAGAAATGGTGGGGGGAAAGTCAGTGACTATCCTGATCAGACCACCAGCATCTTCTTGGAAAGTTTTCTGCACTGTACTGTCTGTCTAATGCAAAGGAAGAGAAGAAATGTTACATGACTTCCATCTCAAGTAAGTCCTCCCCTCAGAATCATAGGCCATAAGAAATGAAAAGGACATTAGACATGATCTAGTTCAGCCTCCTAATTTTGTAGATGAGGAAAAGGCCAAAAGAAAGTGACTTGCCTAAAGTCATGCAGAGTAGCAGAGCCATTATTTTCTCTTGTTCTATCAGACAATGATGAGGCCCTAAGTATGGTGATACTAGAGATATGAAGATATATAAGAAAAGAGAAACATTTGAAAGGGAGGAGTTCCTCCTACCATTTTTCTATGAACTTATCTAGTTTTATTTTTCTGTAAAATTGAAAGCAATTGCGATTATGACTTTTCATTTAGAATGAGTATAGTTGTATAAAATTAATTAATCTTATAGAAAATAATTATATAATCATTATTATATTATATTATTTATACTATATTATTATATCATATGTTATTTTTATGTAGTATTTTGTTATATTTTATCTTATATAACATAATTTAATTAAGATGTATTATATGCACAAATGACATGATTTTTATGCTCAAAGTGATTTTTAACAAAGTGAGCCATATTTTATGCTATAGCAGCAAGTCACTTGATATGTTCCTATACTCTGATAACAAGTAGCAAAGTACAAACACCAGATTCCAGACCAGGAGGCACAGCCACTATGATATTAGAAGTAGACAGATCAATAGTACCTAGCTCTAAAATTGACCTTAAGGATCACCTGGTCCATTCACCCTCCCACCCCAACCCCAATTTACAGATGAGAAAATTCAGACCCAGAGAGGAGGATTAATTTGGCCAAAGACACACAGGTGATAAGTAGAAAAACCACAAGAAGAACTTAAGTTTCCAGATTTATAAAATAAGAATGTGAGAGTAAAAGATCTCAAAAGCTCTAGTTCAATCTGTCTATGATTCTTTGATTCTATTATTTGCTTTTGGGTTTCCTTTTTGTTGACTTTCATTATAGAAGTGGGTCATCCCTTGACTGCACCTCAGCAGAGAGAAAATGGAGATGATGATGATGATCAGGAGAAATGAAAATTAGAAAAAAAAATAACTACGTATTGCCCACCCTACAGTAGATCACTGACTGTTGAGTCAGATCCCCTGAGTTCAGATCCCGTCTCTTTTGCTTACCCTCTGTCACCCTGAACAACTCATTTAACCTTCATGGGCCTCAGTTTCCTCCTCTGTAAAAGGAAGAGGTCTGGCTAGGGCGCCTTTGGAATTCCTTCTAGCTCCCCATCTATGATACATTTCTCACTCAGTTCCTGAAAAGGCTCAGACAAGTCTTGCCGCCGCTGCTGCTGCTCCTTCATTCTCAAAGAGGACCAGTAACATCACACGGGTGACAGCTTGACTAGCTATGCACTGGGTTTCAGTGAGGCAGCCTCATTCTCTCCTCCAGAGCCACTGAAGTCCAGAGGCAAGACCAAAATCAAGACGGCTGGTGATGGCCCAGGATTCAGTGGATGACCTTGGCCTTTCTAACTTAAGGTCCTTCCCAGGCTCCAGTTTGTCTGAGGCAATGCTCATTCTATGACTAAGGGCTAAACCTTTAGAATCTAGTGGTCAGCATCTTGTATCTCAGAACCATAAAATGTTAGGGCTGGAAGGACCCCTCAGGATCAGCTGGTCCAAGCTTTGAAACCAGACATGTGGTGGTTTTACATATCGAATTTAAAACCTGGATTTAAATTTTATTTCTGCCACTTCTTAGTTTTACAACCTTGGACAATTCCCTTCAATAACCAGGCCCTCAGTTTCCTCACATGTAAGGTGAGCTTAGGTTAGGTGTCTTGTAAGTTTACTCACATTCTAAATGTTTATGAGCCTCTTCATTTCACAGGTGAGGAAACTGAGAATATGGGGAAATGAAGTTATTTACCTCTGGTCATACAACTAAAGAGTGACAGAGCCAGAATTAGGCTTTACAATTTCAAATGGTCATGTAACAATCCACTATATCCCCAGCCACTTTCTAATCTTTGACCAGCCTTCAACCCCCTAAATAAAGGATCATAAGGTTCAAAACTGGAAGGACTACTCTCCCTTTCATTTTACAGATGAGGGAACTGAGTCCTATAGAGGGGAAGTGACTTACCCAAAATCACACAGATGGTAAATGGCAAAGTCAGGAATCAAACCCAGATTCCAGAGCCAGGGACCACTCCCCTGCACCACAACTGCCTCAAGGTAAACTTTTACATAATACCACTACCTACATTTGTTTAGTGCTCTAGGCTTTTCCACATAGAGATAAACTAGCTCTTTTTAGTCTCACAACAATCCTATACCATAAAGAAATTTATAGCCCCATTTTACAGATGAGGAAATTGACTCAGGGGTTATAAACTGCTAGTCCAGTGTCCCTTCTCTACAACATACTACTTCTACTTTATACATGCCCATTCATTCTCCTGTGCACCATTGTTTTCCAGAAAAGAACTTCTGAAATAGAGGCAAAATTTCTTTGTAATAAATGCAGGGCATTCACATTGTTTTGTTGTGATGTAACTCTGATTGTAAAAAAAACTTTACACTACCAGAATTATTTTCAGTTTATAAAATTAGATCTTGGTAATGAAAATTCCCATCAAAAAAAATTACCAAAAAAATTGAACAGTGAATTCAATTAGGAAACTTGGAATTAATTTAAATTTTAAAATAGTAATAGTTTATTATCAAACCAAGCTATACATAATACCCATCTTTGTGTTACTCAACTTACATTGATTTCAGATTTGTGAAAGGTCTGAAAAATAAATGTTGCATACATGTTTTTGTTCCCAAATCTTGACCCTTAGCTCCAATTTTTGCTCCTTCAAAGCGGTATAGGAAGTGCTGCTTTTGGAACCAAAATAACATAGCTATAGAGTTGGTCATTTACTCAAAGACTTTTTTATTATTATTATTTTTTAGGCAATTGGGGTTAAGTGACTTGCTCAAGGTCATACAGCTAGTAAGTGTCAAATGTTTGGTCACATTTGAACTCAGGTCCTCCAGACTCCAAGGCCAGTGCTCTAGCCACTGCGCCACCTAGCTGCCTCTCAAAGCCTTTATTTGACAGATTAAGAAATTGAGACCCAGGGAGGAAAAGTGAATTGACCAAGATCAAATAGGGGAAGAGTAATCTAGGCAGGATTTCAATGGTAGAAGGAAGAGGATTGTTTTCTAACTTCATATCTATGGTACTTTCTGTTACAACAGTTTCCCCTCCCCCCACTCCCCAGCTCCAATTCAGGTCCAGGCCCTGTCAGTTTATAGCAAGTCACTTTTAATCCAACCCTTTCCACAAACGTTTACTCTGGGGAAGGGACAAAGACTACAAAATTTTCAAAAAGATTAAAAAAAAATTGATTCCTACCCTTCGTGGGGATTACAGTCTAAAGTGGGGCCAGGAAGAGATAACATTCTCTCAGCCTCAGCCTCTTCATATGCAAAAAGAAGGTAAAGCTGTTGAGAAAAGGCTTTGTAAAATGTCAAGTTCTACATAAATTTCCCCTCTTGGGGAAAACTTGGGGAAGAAGAAGAAGGGGTGCCAGCAGCTGGCGTGGTGCAGGACAGAGCGGTGAGGAAAACGGAGAAAGGAAACGGAGAAAGAAAAGTTGGGCTAAGCGAGTCTTAGAGGTCTCAAGACTAGTTTATTTCAGGAGTTTTCTGATTATATACCCACAGAAAAACAGCTTTGTGCCATGAGAAATGATCCACAAGCACTAATTAATAACATACACAAACTAAGCAACTAAAAAGCCTCATTTTCTTTTTTTTTTATTAATTTATTTTGATTTATCAACAATCACTTCCATATGCTTTTGAGTTGAAAATTTTTCTCCCCCTTCCTCCCCCCCACCCTCCCCAAGACGGCACACAATCTAATATAGGCTTTACATTTACATACCCATTAAACGTATTTTCACAGTAGTGAAGTTGCAAGTAAAAATTAAAACCAATAGGAGGAACCATCAGAAAGATGAAACAAAACTCAACAGAAGGTAAAAATAAGTGATAGCGATTCAACTTCCATAGTTCTTTCTTTGGATGTGGACAGCATTTTCCATCCCTAGGCCTCTGGAGATGTCTTAGATCCTCATAATGCTGAGATGGGTTCAGTTTAACATTCTTAGTCATTGCATAACATCGATGTTATTGTGTACAAAGTCTTCTTGGTTCTGCTCACTTCACTCAGCATCAGACCATATAATTCTTTCCAAAAAGCCTCATTTTCTCATGAGAAAGTAGTTTTAATGCCAAAATTCATATCTATTGTTTCCCTGCCCAGTTCTTAGTATTATCTGTCCCAGTCAGCCACCTGGCCTGAAGGCTGGTCGTGAGTGAGTACTCAGAATCAACAACCTATAACAAAGGGAATTGGGGCTAGAGTCAAGGGAGCAATTATCCAGAGGCAAGCCTCTAATACATACCGACCGCTTAAGTCTATAAGGACTTAGAGATTTTCCATAAGGACCCAGCTCCCAACAAAGAGGACCTTTGGCTTGGTCTGGGTTTTCCAGAGTCTCAAAAAAATTCTGGGTCATTTTCTGTCTCCCTAGACCAACTACAGCTTTGGCGAACGCTTCTTTCTTCTGGGATTCTCCGACTGGCCATCGCTCCAGCCCCTACTCTTTGCCTTCATTCTCTTCTGCTACCTCCTTACTCTGGTTGGCAACTCGACCCTCGTGTTCTTGGCGGTCCGTGACCCCCGCCTCCACGCGCCTATGTACTACTTCCTCTGCCACCTCGCCCTGGTGGACGTCTGCTTTACAACCAGCGTTGTTCCGTTGCTGCTGGCCAACCTCTGGGGCTTGGCGAGGGCGCTGTCCCGCGCCGGGTGCATGACCCAGCTCTATCTCTTTCTGGCACTGGGTTCCACTGAATGCGTCCTTCTGGCCGTGATGGCGCTGGACCGCTCGGCCGCCGTGTGCCGTCCGCTCCATTACACTGCCCTGGCCTCGCCCCACCTCTGCCGGGCGCTGGCGGCTGCCTGTTGGCTGGGTGGGTTCACCAATTCGCTGGCGCAGACCATATTACTGGCCACGCGGCAGTTGTGCGGGCCCCGGCGCGTGGACCACTTCATCTGCGAGCTGCCAGCCCTGTTGAAACTGGTCTGTGGGGGGCAGGGGCGCCGTGGAGCGGCAGATGTTTGCTGCTCGGGTAGTTATACTGCTGGTGCCCTCTGCTGTCATCCTGGTCTCCTATGGGGCTGTCGGCCGGGCCGTGTGGAAGATGAAATCCCAGACAGGGAGGAAGAAAGCAATGGGGACCTGCGGTTCCCACCTCACGGCTGTCTGTCTGTTCTATGGTTCTGCCATCTACACATACCTGCAGCCCACACACACTTACTCCCAAGGGCAGGGCAAGTTCGTCTCCTTGTTCTACACTGTAGTCACTCCTGCCCTCAACCCTATCATCTACACCCTAAGGAACAAGAAGGTGAAGGGGGCAGTGAAAAGGCTTCTGGGCAGAGCAGAGTGGAGGGAGAGATAAGGGTGGAGTTAGGAGGAGCTTCTCTAGTCCATCACTCAGAGTTCTCATGGATTGCGGAGTGGTGAGCTCAAAGAAGTTGAAGAACTAATGGCATGAATAGATCTTGCCCATTGAATGCTCCCAGACTGATGAAGGAGATGCCTCCCCATCATCCAAGTCCACATTTGATAAGTGAAGCAGAGTTCTCAACTTAGATGTTCTCCCAGTAGATGGGGCTGCTGTTCTAAAGAAGCTTCCAGTTTGATAAAAGACATATGGTCCCTGCCTTTGGGGATTTGTAAGAGGAGACTAGACCAACACATAAAAAGCAGACATAACATATAGACTAGCGTAGTCCATGCAATCAAAAGACTTGCATACATAAATGGGCAAGGAGGGGACACAAAAGGGATTAGGATGAGAAATGTCCAGTGGGCATAGTCAGGTTAGTCCTGGGAGAGGAAGGACTTTTTGAGATTTTGAAAACACCAAAGGATTTAAGTAGTGGATAGAAAGCAGAGGGGCACCTAAGAGAAAAGCCATGGCCCATATATAAAAGGTGTGGAGGTTAAATGAGGAAAGGACAATCTTGGGAAGGAGAGAAAGGGGGTGGATGGGATCTAATGAAACTTCAAAGCCCACTACAGGGTTTGGGGATTATTAAAGGAGGTAAGCTAAATAGGAATGACAACAGATAAGTAGTCCCCCATCTTTCCTAAACTCTTGTCACAGGCAGGAGAATAATCCCCCAAGTCTGTTTCCTGGAAGACTTCATTTCCCTTATGGCACCAACCACTCTTGTAGGAAAGAAAAGCAGAAGCACATCTTTCCTTGTTGCCCCCATTTCTCAGGACATATAGAGGTATATTCATTTAAAGGATGGGGAGAGGTATAAAATATATAATTTTACATCAGATAAAGTCAAAAGCAGGACAAAAGAACAATTTTCTTTCTTCCTCTTCCATGTTATTGTTAAGCTATAGTTTAATGGTGGCAGAATAATTAACTCTCTTCATGATGAATTATCTTCATCATGGTATAGGAACAGAAAAAGGGTCTCTTAACTGTTAACTTGGAAAAACCAAGGTAATTTCCCTGTTCCCAACATCCATTTTACCATAGTGGAAGAATTCTTCAACTGAGAGTCAAGAGAAATACATTCTAATGTAGACTTTACAATTTACTTGCTATATGACCTAGGGTGAATTCATTTTGTATCCCCTTCAATAACTGTAACACAAGTGACTGTCTACAAAAAGCATTTAAAGGATTTTATTTAAACATCACACTAGAAATAGACTGCTATAGAATTATTAAGCTTGAAATGAATTCCTTAGTTACTTTTCCTCCAGCCATCTCTTTTTCTACTTGGTCTTTACTACTCCACTACACTACCACCACTATTCCTCTTCCTTCTCTACTTTGTCTACTTCCTTCTGAATTTTTGTTGCAAGATATGAAAGGATCATGTTCAGCATAAGCAGGAATTAGTTGTAAGATTTTGAGTTGTATTTCCTCCTGACTCCAGGCTCCCTTCTCCCTGATTAGCCCCCTATGCACTTCTTGCACAAGAAGAAAATGTTAATATTCAGGATCAAGTAATCAGACATGGTCTTCCCATCCTCTAGCCTCTTGCCATTGCAGTACACAGTCTGGTCCTTGAGGAGCCCTGATGTTATGCCTTTAATGATCTCCTTCACCTGAGCCACTGAGCTGGACCGTCGGATAGAAAATGGGTGCTTCTTTCCTTCATCTGCCTCCATCAGAAATGCCTCCAGCTCTTCATCACTTGGTTTCACCACTTTCAGGGTGAGGTGCATAGTTGTACTAGGGTCGAACCAGTAGTGGGACAACTTTTTTTCAGGGTCTAGGGCCTTGGAGCCCAAGAGGAGCATCTGGTTTTCTGCAGGAACCTTGATTTTAGAACTAATCTGTTCATTAATCTTCTTTACCCTGTCATCCTTCTGAGCAGTGAATCTCATCAGCTCTTGTCCTGAGGAATGTACATTCACCTAGAGACAAAGAACAAAGGAGTAGATATTTTAAAAGCTCATGACTTGCTTCTTTCCACCGTTGATGTCATTGATCAGGTTAGCATATATATATATATTCTTTTCATCTGAAATGCCCTTCCCCTATCTCTGATGTCAATATGTTTCCCATCATTTAAGATCCAACTCACATGCCACTAGTGCTCCGTGAATCCTTCCTTGATACCCCCAGTCAGAAATTGTCTTTCCTTCCTTATACATTTTGTGCCTGCAGAGTAGGCATTTTATATCTCTTGGATGCACTTACAATGCTCTACTTTTATTATCATAATTTGTGGGTGTGTCCACTAGATTACACTAATTTGAGTTTAGCACAGAGCCTGCCACATAGCAAATAGTCTCTTAATAAATGCATATTGACTGACTGACTAATCTTAAGGCAGAGATTATTCATTTGTATTTCCCGCAGTGCCTAGCACAATGCTGTGCTTAGAACAGGTCCTTAAAAGATCTGTTAAGTTCATGATGCCATTTCCTCTCCCTCGACTGGCTTCTGCTTACTTTCATTCAGAAAGCCTTACACAGCTTTTAGTATGTCCCATCACTGAGGTTATGTCCAAAAAAGAAATATTTCCTGCCTTCGAAGAGCTCTGCTCCACTAATCATGGATTCATAGATTGTTAGAGCTGAAAATATCTTTGCAAGGAGATTGGTAGTGCCAACTTCCCTCATTTTATAGAGAAGAAACGTAAATGCAGACAAGGCAAATTCAATCAGAATTTATCAGGCACTTACTGCGTGCAAGGCAGTGTGCTAAGTGTGGAGAATAATGAGGCAGACAGCTTGTGCATCAGGTAGAGTCAGGGAAGACCTCAGCTGAAATCTACCCTCAGATACTTACCAGCAATATGACCCTGGACAAGTCATTTGCTTCCTGCCTCAACTTCCTCATCTATAAAATGGGAATGATAAAAGCACCTGCCTCTCACGGTTATTGTGAGGATAAAACAAGATAATATTTGTAAAGCATTTTACAAACCTTAAAGTGCTGTATAAAAGCTAGCAATTATTATTATTATTCTTTCTATTAATATTTCTATTATTAGAAAGACAAGAAAATCAGGCCCTGTCCTCAAGGAGCATACTTTCCAATGGAGGAAGCAATATATAAATAGCTAAGTACTTAGAGGATATATACAGAGGTAAGGTAATCTGAAAGAGGAAGGCATTAGGAACTAGGGGGACTAGGAAAGGCCCCCTCAAAATCATACACCAAGTTTGTGGCTAAGCTGCTACTTAAATTCAGGTCTCTTGTCTCCTTGACTAGTGCTGTTTATCCTCTACCAGGGCACTTCTGTCCAAACCTGTCCCTATTTCTAGGAAGCACTCTCTGAGTACCACTCCATTCATATTGCTCCCATACTGCCCTTGTTTAAACATTGTTAGAGCTCTTCTTCTGGAATTGCCTTCAGAGCAAGTTTACAAGCCTGATTTGCAAGCCACACAAGATGGCCATAAGCTTGTTTTTGATTGAAAATTGGATCCCTTGATTTGATTACCTACTTTGTTTATCTAATTTGTCTCAATAAGTCTTCAGGAAGTTTCCAAAAATCAAATTAATTCCCTGAAAGATGGAGATTTACTACTATTGAGGCTCCTTCAAGGAATATGTGACTTTAAAAAGATTTCCAAATGAAGACTTCCAAATTGGCTTTGAGCAATGGCAGAATCATTGGAGTGTATTTTAAGCCTCCCTGGGTACAACTTTGAAGGGCAGTGCTTATTTGAATGTTCAGGATCTACTCTAATCTAATCTAATCTAATCTAATCTAATCACCTCATCAGTGTCATTTGCACCATGCTCAGCTACAATTCTTGCTCTATGTTGGTCTAAGCCCTTATGTCTACACTTGATGCAGTTAAGAAGCCACTTGGAGTCAGGAAGAACTGAGTTCAAATCCTGACTTACACTTAACTTCTCTCATCTTCACTTCCCTCACCTAACGCACAAGGTTGTTGTGAGGATCAAAAGAGACAATATATTTAAAGTACATTGTAAACCTTAAAGCATGATGTAGCTTTTTTATAAACTAGCTAATGCTAGTCCTGAGAACTATGCCTGTTACTGTTCTTGTGCCTGCCTGCCTCAAATCTCTCTCCGCTCCAATCTAACCTTCTGATTTTGCTAAAGCACAGGTCTAACCATGTCATTCTCCTACCTGATAAACTCCAGTGGCTTCCTATTCCCTCCAAAATCAAATGCAAAATGCTCTGTTTGGCATTCAAAGCCCTTCATAACTAGCCCCCTCCTACCTTTCCAGTCTTCTTAACACCTTATTCCTTGCCATACACTCTTCAATCCAGTGACTCTGGCCTTCTTGCTGTTTCAAGAACAAGACACTTCTCTTCTCAGCTACGGACATTTCTTCAGGCTGTTCCCCATGCCTGGAATGATCTCTTTCCCCATCTCTACCTACTGGCTCCCCGGCTTCCTTTAAGTCTCAACTAAAATTCCATCTTCTATAGGAAGCCTTTCCCATCCCCTCTTAATTCTAGTGCTTTCTCTCTCTTATTTACTTCCTATTTTTTCCTGTATACATATATATTTGCTTATTGTCTTTCCCATTAGATTGCGAGCTCCTATTGAGTAGTGATTGTCTTGCCTTATTTTTTATCCCCAGAGCTTAGCAAAGTGTCTGGAACATAGCAGGCACTTAATAAATGTTTATTGACAAACTGACTAGATTCTGTGACCACTCCCGATACCAGACTGGGAGCTCCAAAAGGATAAAGGGGTCCGTAGTGAAATTCCACCATTTGAGTTTTCCTGTTTTTCTTTCCCCCATTGCCTCCTCTTTGAAAAGGCAAACACCCTGAGAGGGTAAAAGCATCAAGCAGTTATTACAAAGCTGTTTAAGGTTTATAAAATGCTTTGCCTACATTATCTGATTTGATCCTCTCAACAGATAAGTAGAATTTGATTTCCTACTCTACAGGAGGGATGCCAGCCTTCTCTTGAGCCTAGAAAGCCTAGAAAACCTAGAAAGAAGGGCAAGGAAAAAGAATGTTGGACTATATCTCTAAACTCCACCTAGGATTATAGGCTTTAAAGCTGCATGGGTCCTTAAAGGTCACCTAATTAAACCACTTCATTTTAGAGATGAGGAAACTGAGGCCCATACATGTGAAGGTCCCACAGATATTAACAGACCTGAATCTGAAAGCAAGTCCTTTGGCTACAAAGCAAAGTCAGTGCTCTTTCCACTTCCCTCAACTGGAACATTCCATTCTATTAGAGGAAGAAGCTTAACCTACTTCATACATTGCCAGTGGTCAACCCTGAAAGCACACTTCTTTCCCCACTCCAGTGATCCCTAGTTGAAGTTTGGGAATAAAGTTATGTTTAAGACAGCAGAGTAACTGATTCTTCTTGTTAATCCATGTCCTTCCTCTCATTTAAAAACTCAATTCAAAACTCTTCTATTCCAAGAAGCCTTCTCTGCTAAACATCTCAAGCCTAGAACCTCATCAGCATCCCACCCCAGTCTCCCTTTGTCACACACACACACACACACACACACACACACACACACACACACACACACACACACACACTGACTTACAGAGTAACAAGAGCCATTAGGTGCCATCTCTGAAGCTGAGAATGAATAGAATGAGGAATGAACCTCACTCCCAGACTTGTATACTAAATGGCTGGGGAAGTTGGGGGTGGAGAGAGAAGGTGGAAATTCCCGACCTTGGTTGGCTTTATGTCAACCTTTTATCTGATGCTATTCTCATCAAGCAATTTACTTTCAGTTTTTTTGAGTGAGGGTTGGGGGAGAAGAATGGAAGGAGAGGGGAAAGTCATTCTGAAGTTCTCTTCCAAGGGAGTGGGGAGGGGATAAACTTCATCTAAAGATTATCTACTGGCCCACATGGGAAAAAGCAGCCCCACATTCCTCCATTCTAGCTTTTACCCCCAAGGTCCAAACAATGAGAACCTTTCTCTTAGGCTTCTCCTTTCCAATCACCCTCACCCACATTGTTTCAAGTCTATCTTATTTGGAAAAGTTTCCCTAATTGATCTCACTTGGCTCAGATATATGATTCTGGAACCCTTTAGCACTTAGGAAAAAAATTTCTAATATTCATTTGTGCTTGTTGTAATGATTTTTAAGTATCTTCAGTGGTATTCATGTGGCTCTCTCCTAATATTCCAAAATTTTCATGGAGTCAGGATGTCTGTCTCCCTTTTCCTTAAATTACCCACCATACCTTCAGGTTAAGACTGTGCATACTTAGAATCCAAAGCTAGAAGGGACCTTAACCATCTAGTCTAGCCACCTCATTTTATAGATGAGGAAATTGAAGCCCAGGAGAGTTAATGGATTTGTCTAAGGTGAAGCAATTGGTATGTGGTAAACCCAGGTCCTCTTACTACAAATCCAATGTTTTTCCCACTATTTCTTTCTATATGTTACTGAATGATTGATGGGATGGATGATTGGAATGATTGATTTCAATGTGGCAGGGAAGGATGGTCTGGATAATCTGGAAAGGAAACAAATCTTTAAATTTTTTCTTCAATATTCTTGAGGATTTCACCAAGACCACCACCACCACTCCCATCCATCCTATTCAGCTGTCATTTAGATGTCTTCTCAGTCCAATATGATGTTGAATTCCACACTTTCCCTGATCCAGTCACTCTCTTTCTGCCTTCCTCTCCAAGTCTCCTACTAACATCTAAGAGCTGAAAACTTCAAACACAACAGAGGTTTTACTACTTCATTTGGAAGTGATACTGAGCAGAAGATGAAGAAGTATGCAAATTGTACAATCTTAACCAACTCACTAAACCTCTCTGAATCTTGATCTATCTGCCCATACAAAGAATCATTATCATCCTTCTTAATCTGCCAGAACTGGGGTGGGAGCAAATATATAAATATATAAAGTTGCTGTAGGTGTTATGTTGCATAACTAACAAGTGTCTGAGGCTAGGTTTGAACTCAGAT